ATGATATTATGCTTTGGAATGTAGTGAAGTAAAAGTAAACGTTTCTCAAAATAAACACTCTGATAAAGTGCAGATACTTGAAAAATACTGAAGTAGGCCTACAATAACAAAGTAAAAATACTCCATTACTGTCTACCACTGCTTGTTTGACTCACATAAAGACGATTATGTACTTGCTGCCACCAACTGGCATAACAATGTAACATGCAGAGGTTTCTGAATAACCCTCTCAGACAGCCTGTAGACAAATGGTGTACTGTCCTCTCAGCCAATCAGATTAGAGGACCACAAGTTGTAAGAATAAGAATAAATGAAAATTAAATTAGTTATATACAAATTATCTGAGACATTGTCCTAAAGCGCATTTCGGGATGAGCACCCTCACAACTCTACTTTAGACACGCACTGTGCTCCTTATCAGGATTGCACCCAGCTCTGTATTCCTTCCATAACTCTCTTCAGAACTTTTTCTTCTGATCTCCTCATGTCTGATCTCTCTTAAGATGACCACTGGGTATGACATGAACAGCTCTCTCACAATAGCACTGCTGACCACTGTTAGATCTTTCATGCAACAGTGCAACCACTAGTGAAGTAAAATGCTTTCGATGTGTGGAAACTCTAATGTGTATTTGCAGTCTTCGATCATGGTTGACATTGTTTTTTTCTTCTTTATTTGCATATGACACATGAAACTGAATGTAGTCAGATCATGTTTTCATGTTTTTAAATTTCACTCGAGATTTCATTTAGTTTACTGACATCAGTTTACCTAGAAAAATGATAGTATTTTAAAAAAGTAACATTTACTTGGCGAGGAAAATAGGTCACAGAATTCAAATTTATTATAGATCTATAATATCTGGACTATTTACAGGGGATGTTAAATGTAATCTGTGAAAAGATTACTGACTGTTGACTAGCTGTCAGTTGAAAAAAAAAAAAGGCACGTAATAGACACATAATAGTGTTGAAAGTGTGCCATAAATGACAGCTCCTCGTGAGAAATATAAGTAATAGACTGAATTCTCAGCCTGTGTTCCTTCTTTGATTCCTCCAGCTGAAGAGATCGCTCAGACAGTCGAGCAGGCCATCAGTGGAAGCTTCATGGGTCGCCTTATTTTCCAGCCCACTGGATGTGGAGAGCAGAACATGTACCGTATGACTCTACCTCTCATAGCCACTCATTATCTGGACAGCACCAATCAGTGGGACACTGTTGGCATGGAGCGCCGTAATGACGCCATCAACCATATCAGCACAGGTCAGCAGAACAAGACAGATATAAAGAATCTGACTCTGATTTGAAATAAAATCATAAAATCTCTCAACAATGCTCTCCTGTGGTCACGGCTTGTTTGCAATAAAGGAGGAACTATATTTAAAAGAACTCCAGATACACAAAAAACAGAACAACTTAAAGCAAAATGTGACATGAACGGACAACTGAAATGTTTGTTGACTGGCCAGCACAGAACAGCAGGTGTGCAAATTAATCAAACAATGAAAAACCATAGCAACGAACTGAAAACACAGAACTAAAGCATGTGACAGAACCTTCCAAAAACAGAAACAAACCCAGATGATCTCTAATACCCGGACTTTGAAATGGACATTACAATAAATTTTTTTTCACTCAAAATCTGAAATATATACATGGATAGTAAAGTAAATATTCTTTCTTTATTAAGGTTATCAAGGTCAGCTGAAATACCGCAAAACAGATGGATCTTACGCTATCTACATAGAAACGGCAAGCAGCACATGGTAAAATTTTATTTTTTCAATATTATTATGATTAAAAGTAGCAAAGTATTACTTGTTATTAATTTGCTTTTGTTTCTGTCTGTTAAAGGTTGACAGCATATGTGGCTAAAGTCTTCGCCATGGCCAATAACCTTGTTTCTATAGAGGAGAATGTGATCTGCAGCGCTCTCAAGTGGCTGGTTCTGCACAAACAATTGCCAGACGGCTCCTTTAAAGAGGATTCAGCTGTAATTTCAAGAGGGATGGTGGTAAGCTGAATGTTACTATGACTGACGTAGCAGCTGGCAGCCGTTCTTTTTTTTGCATTTGTTGTGTCTCACCTCAGTCGCGATATTGAAGGTGGAATAGAGTGCTGGTCTTTCACTCCCCCCACCGACAATCCCTGCTGGTAGCGAGACTCGAACCTGCGACCTTTGGGTTACAAGTCTGTCTCTCTAACCCAGTGTTTCCCAACCACTGTGCCATGACAGGTTGTCAGGTGTACTGTGGAAAATTATCAGAACGTTCTATCTCTATTATAAGTCGTTATTATTATTATTTTAAATCAACGCTATTGGTCATCTTTACTTTACATCTTTTTTTTGTTTGTTTGTGGGTTTTACAAATATTAAACAAATGAAAAACATTCAAAAGAGCTTGTGACTAAACCTCATAATGCCATTGGATCCTCAAACTGTCAGCGAAACCTGATAACTCCACCCACCTCCATTCAGATTGAAGCACCGCGCGCAGACTGGAGACAGATCTCTGCTTATTCACAATACAAGGGTAAATAAAGGACTGATGTTTGAATAAGTAGTGTTTTCTTTACTCAAAAAAAAAACACTATGTCCCTCTAAATGATGATTCCAGGTAAGGATTCACAGAGCTACAACGAAAGATCTGGCTAGAAAGGACTAACATCTGCCAAAAAAGATAATTGCGCAAAGATGGCTCCCTCCCCATGATATAGTAATATTAGAACTCTCAACAGCCAGAATAAATAAAGCTAGAGCCTCAACCCTTGAGGCATGGAAAGCTGTTGCAGATGGCTTGACAGAAAGGCTTCAAGATGGTCGAATCTAACTCTACTTATCCTGAGTTTATGTTGCAGACTGTATCAGTTTTTTGTATTTTTATTATTTTATTTATTGTATTTTGTTATTATGTAATAATAATAATAATAATAATAATAATAATAATAAATTACTGTTTTATATATCCTGTGCATAGTGCTTCATCTTTTATATCATGATATTTTGGCCAAGTGTATTAAACAACAAAAAAACTGAGCACTTACATAGCTACAATAAACTTTATAACCTGTAATTGAATCAATGCTAGTTTGTAAAATGTTACTATATTTCAGTGCTTAGTGGTGTGCCGTGGGATTTTTTACTGATCAAAACCCTGCTGTGGCTAAAAAACAACAACAAAAAAACACTGCTCTAACCATTAGGCCACTACTGTCCCTATAATGAATATTATAATTCATTATAAAACTTTGCTTATGTTTTAATTGCTGTATTACTACATATCTTTCAGGCCCAGTTATATACTTTTGAACCATAGCAAGATACATTAGTAATGCCTGTCATGTCTCTATCTTCAGGTACTACTATACTTTAAAGTCCTGCATGGATTCAGGTTTTGTCCATTGATTAATAACTCTAGTAAAAAGCGTCACATTTGCTGATGGCAACAAACAATTTTAAATGTTTCAGTTTATTTGTGCTTTATTCCAGGGTGGCGTACAGGGCAATGATGCTGATGCCTCTCTGACGGCTTTTGTTGTGATTGCCATGCAAGAGGCCAGCAAGATCTGTGCTGAATCAGTTGGAGTAAGTGAACTTCTTCCATCATTGTGTTTATCAGAACAAGAGTGGTACCGATAGATGATAGTGTCGTGGATCAACAATAGATTTAAAAACATTTTTATGATGCTAATAACACTAATAACAATTACAAATTATTATTATTAGTAGTAGTGGTAGTATTATTAATTGAATTATATGGGCCTAATAATAGTCTTTATGTCCGAACACAGCACAATAATCAAAAGTATATTCAAACAGCGACTTTAAAAAAGTAAGAAATGTTTAACAAGAAATATTGATTATTCTAATTTTTTCACTATCATTAATATGTGATCCACAAGAAAAATACTAAATACTAATACATTTAGATTGATATACCATTGCTATACTGTTATCAGCATTGCAGATTCTGCTCTCATTGTGTCTGAGAATTTATGTGCCGTTAAAGGCACAATATGTACGATTTTTTTTATTAAAATATCCAAAAACCACTTGAACAGTGTTATATATTTTGCTGACTTGTGTACTTACAGTATCCCAAATGTTTCGAAGAATGTTTAAATCAAGAGAAATAAGCAATTTTAACTAGTGACACGGACCGTGTCCATAGCGTCATTGTGTCGCCTGCCAAAGACCTCATAACCCCTCGATTTCCGGTTTTGTTTTGTAGAAAACATGGAAACACCAAAGATGCTTTAATATGTTGTGCGTTTTAATAGACCGGTGACGACCGCACAGAGTAGCATTATAACAGAAC